TGAGACATGGATATGGGGATAACCTCCAAGGGTCCTCCAAACATGGAAAAACTATTTCATAAATATCATGTTAATTTGAATCAGATCACTTACTTTCACATCATTTCACTAATTTCAGGTGAAGCTACATTTTACACCTAAAGCGTTGAGACTAATTGCTAAGAAGGCGATGGCTAAGAATACAGGTGCCAGGGGTTTAAGAGCTATAATGGAAAGCATTCTCACTGAAGCGATGTATGAGGTATTTGCCATTTGGGGTCCCTATGTTTTGAATGATGTTCAAACAAGCATGAGTTTGCTATAGACTATGTTACTTGAACTCTGGTGTGAATGTCATACGGGTATGTATCAAAAATGGGCATGATTAGACTTTTCTATGTTTCCCATGTATTTGGAGAATCCTTAAAAATCATCTCATATCCAATGTGTTTGACACATACTTAAAGAAGAAAAAGAGCCAAGCAACATGGGGCATAGATATATCCTTTTGAAGTCAAAAGTTTTATGTAGTGAAGCATTTGATGCTTGCATGTTTCAGATTCCAGATGCAAGGACTGGACAAAATAGAGTAGATGCTGTTGTGATTGACGAGGAATCAGTGGGTTCCAAAGATACCCCTGGATGTGGAGGGAAGATTCTTCGTGGAGATGGTGCTTTGGAGCATTACTTTGCGAAAGCCAAGTTGAAGGATTCTATTGTAAGTTTTAGCCTGTATAGCATCTACCTCTTTTGATCATATATCAGTACGCCAATTCATTTATGATATAATAAGATTTAACTCCATTGATTACTTTTAGTCAATCGGTAAGGAGCTCAATACCTTGCGGAGTCTTATAAGGAAACTAGGTGCTCAGAATGCTTACCCCCAAAACCCTTCTTGGGTTATAAATCAGCTCGATTCGAGGATAGTCTACTTGATACCATGGGTGTTAGATCAATAATAATTATATTGACTTCTAATATGCTCTTATGGTAGATTATCGATGTGGAAGAAAGCATTGTTACCATATGAACAAAAATAATTTCTTATAGTAAGTCCCGACATAATTTGCCTATTTTCTTCAGCATCAAGTCATAGAAGGATCAGTGTATACATTATAACAACATTACTTGGTAAACATGATTGTGCTTGTACTTGTTTTCAGGAAAACCATCCAATGGTCGAAGGACAACAGGCGGAAAGAGAATCGGAGGTTTCATCTAGAGCCATGAGCTTGTAGGAATTTCCCCACCGAAGTTGTTGCTGTAATGTGGTAACAGTATTTGTTATTTGTAAAAGTAACATTCATTCATTGGCCCATTTATCTTGTATAACAACAGAAATTTGGGTGCCATAGTTGAATAGAAAGATACAAGAGAAGGAAAAGAAAAATAAAATTGTAGCTTCTTAGTGAAAAAACGGCATCCTGTGTAAAAATTTTACTCTGTTCAAGTTCACATTGTAATTGCCCACAGTAGGACTTGATCCCACGACCACAAGGTTAAGAGCCTTGTGCTCTACCAACTGAGTTGGACGGGCAATTCATTGTAATTTATTGTAAGATTTCCATTAATTGAATATCACGTGTATGTTGAAATGTAGTTCTAGCCATTTGCCAATATAGTTTTTTTTTTAAATAATGTACCAAGATATATACTTTACTTGTATGCTTATAAATATGTAGTTCACAATATTTTTGATGCCACTAGGTACTGAGTTATGCAAGCGAACTGATTGGTAGAAACAATTTCAGATAAATCAGGTGATATTGTAAAAGCATGTTCATTCGCTTGAGTTGCAATATTAGCAACTCGGGAAGTTTGCTATGGTTTGTGGTTAAGTTTCTGTAGATACTCGATTTGTCCGGGGTTATGTCGGAACAAACTCGAAGCAATGGCAACTTAACCCGACCCCAAACCAGTTGAAGGCTCAACTCCAACCCACCTGACTACTCTCTGGAAAACAAGGATAGTTATGGGGGTTAACAAATATTATCGGGAGTTAACCAAGAGAATTGGGGTCCATGATTTTAAACATAGAGAAAGAAACTGTAAATAGGGTGAGGGTCGGTTTTTATTGGAATTAACTGCCAAAGGAAAAGGAAGGGATTAACCACTGGAAACTATCTGGAGAGGGGAGGACATGCAGAAAAATAGGAGAAAACAGAGATCATAGAGAGAGAAAAGGGAGGAATCATCACAGATTACAAAAAAAGGGAACGATCACAAGTTACAGAGATTACAGAGACAAAGAAAAACCTGAGAATAATTAACCGAGAGAACGAGGGAGAGATATTACCCGAGGGAGATATCAGCCATCACGAGAGGACGAGCAGGAGAAAATCGGATTAACTATTAGCAATTTCGTAGTGTAAAGAGAATACGAAAGAATATCATAGTGTAATCATGTAATTCCAAAAAAAAAAAAAGCAATAAAGGTACATTTTTTCGAGAATTTTTCTCCAATTTCTTTATTTTCCAGTTCGTTTTTTATGCGTGTGTGATTGTTTTTAAAATTAAAGTTTGAAAGGGACTGGGACTTACCTAGACTGCTCGAACACAAGTGGGGTCTTGTTGACTCCGTTTGTTCATGGTGGGGGTTTCATTGTCAAGGAAAAAAGAGTGTTTAACAAAACAGAAATAAATTAGAAATAGGCAGTAAGAATTTGTCTATAGAAATGAAAAACCTAAATGGAAATTACCTTTCTTCTTCGTCTGTAAGTTCCTTTCTGTCGTTGGGGGGCTATGAACGATAGATGGTTGCAATGGTTGCTTCGTTTCGGTAGAGATTTTGGGTCATTACCGTGGCTGTTGAATATGCTGGCAGGCGAAGAGAGTTTTGTAACTCTCTATCTATCGAGAAGGAAGGTAGAGAAGTAGAAAATGGACAAGAGTTGAGCGGTAGAGGTGATATTAGTTTAGGTTTAATATTAGTTTAGGTTTTATGTAAAAGGTTTTGGATAAATTAAGGTTTAGCCACTGTGATCTTGGGGGGTTTATTCTGGTTACAGTACTTGTTGTTTGGTTAAGTTGCATTTTAATCCCGCAAGTGTATTTATTTTATTTGTTTGTCATTTGGCATGGTAGTCCATTTTAAATACGTATACATACAAAATATATGCATGGGTTTGTTTGTGCTTAAATTATTTAGATACGTATTATATGTATGTATGAATGTATTTGTTTTCAAAATCCTGTGAACAATGAATAGTGGGTACATATGAGCATTGGTATGTTAACACATATATTTTGCACATAATTTTGGATGTATGTTTTCATGTATATACGTATCACTCTATGGCACATCATTTTGTAAATATAGGTTTGTATATTATATACTTGTATTCATATTTTAGTATAATGTGTATGATATATTATATCAGGTGTGTTAAATTCATTAGACCTTATGTTTTATAAATATGCGAACATATGAGTTTTCCCTTGGATGTGCGTCCACTGTTTCTAATATGTATATGTAGGTACAAATATGTGTAAGGGTTTTTTTTAGATATTTTTCATTACATGAAAGTTTAGTCACATAACATTGCATAATTTGTATGATATCTTCATGTGCATAACTCGACTATTACATAATTGGATTAAGGGTAATACCCTTTTAATTTAAAATTGTTTTAAGTGGGTTGTCTTAACTGATTAGAGATCCGCTTTGACGATTTTAAATTAAAAGTGTATCCCATTAGTGACACCTAAAAATTGATTCTTCACTTTAAAATTTGGGAACGAAAGAAAAAGAAATGTTCGGTTATTTAAATTTATCGAGAAAAGGTTGTTATAGCTTTTAAGATCTAGTCTCGATATTTGTAAATAATCGAACATTCTTTATCTTTCTAAAATGACTTGGTAATTTTAATTTAATTTAATTTATTTGAGTGTTTTTGAATGTTTTTAAATTTACATCTTTGTTTTATGGGATCAAAAGTCAAATTAAAGTCAAATTTGTAAATTTCATTGCAAAGACGTTAATTAATCGACTAGGTACTGATTTAGGGCGTTGTGGGGGTGCTAATCTTTCTCCACACGTAACCGACTCCCGAACTCATTTTTTGTAACGCATACATCAATTTGTTGTTTTAATTAAAATTAATTTTTATTTAAAATGACAAAGCATTTTTGGATGCCCAATCACATCCTAATCAAATATCGGTGGTGACTCTTCGAACCGTATTTTTCAATCGTAAAGAAAACCCAAAATTTTTCGAAATGAGAGGTCTTTTAAATCACATTTGTTTTTAAATTAAAAAGAGGATAATTAAGAATTAATGTGGTTTTTAAAATCTCACTTTTTTACTCTTTAAAGAAAAAAAATCGTTTCTACAGTTTCCATGAAGCACACTTTGAAAGTTATTTAAGTTCAAATCGATCATGATCCGAACTCAAGTAACTCAAGCTATCCAACAAATTTCGGGTCAAATTGCTGAAGCTGTCCAACAAATCAAGTTTGAGTATCTTGATACTTTATATAAGTTCGATCATGAACTTGATTTTGGGTAAATAAATTTTATAAATAATTTAGATCATAACAAACTTGGAGCAAATTCAAAGTTTGTCATGATTAAAATTTGATCGAGCTCGAGTTTAGCTTCGAGCTTAGAGTGGACCTTTGAGCTTCCCACTATTTGAGCTCGTCTTGATTACAACTCTATCCCTACGAACTCAGCTCAAGAATTATATTACTCGGATAGCTTCAACCTTTACAAATTCCTCTACCAGCCTAATTCCGAGCACCACGAGGGCACTAGTAGAAAGAAATTGTGTTTGAGCAAATACCAACATCCCACAAAAGTGCATCCAATGAAGATTTCATGAAAACAATAAATTTTTAAAGTAGAAAGAATTTGTGTTCCAAGTAGCATCAAAATCAGACCACAATCTTGAAAAGAAAACTAATAATCTATATCTGCTCATGTTGATTTTTCAGATCAAAAACAATATGAGCATTCAACTTTCCATACTTCATCTGTTTAAAATATTAAATATTTGGTAATAGATCTTTCATGCTTCTCCAAATGATAACAAAAAAAAAACTAAGAATTGCCAAGTTCTTTAATTAAATAACACCAACTAACTAAACCAATTGCCTCCAGTTCATTTGAATTCAGAATTTGGAAAAATATATTGCATCCTCTCAACCAAACCCTCTTCACTGAATGTTCTGACTTTGGCACATAAGATGATCATCCTTCACATCAGTATTGTTGACCATTATAATGTAGTGTACACAGACCGTTGTTGTAAATAAAAAAAGCACCATCTAAAAAGAAAGCGATTCAACAGGGTCACAACACACCAAAAACAAAACCTATGAAAAAAGTGAAGTGATTAACAAGGTCACTGCACAAACAAAAAAACTTCAGAAAGAAAGGGACTCAACAGTCTCAGAAAGAATGTTATTTCTTTATATTCATTCAGATAGAACAGCAGGTAAATATATACACACAAACTAGATAATCAAATTTTATTGTTAATTTATGTATAATTTGTTCAAAAATTATTATTTAATACACTAACATTGAAGTTTTTTTTAACTCCACCCGTGGAATTAAGATATCACCATGTGTCTCGGTTGTTTTTTATTTTTTAAAATGTTTATTAACCCCAATTGTGGAATTAAAAAAACTCCACCAGCAGTGTATCAAATAATTCCATGATCAGGCTATATTACATTTCGCACTATTACATTCTAGAGACCCACACTTGTGCTATTTGCAAGGTTGCAACTGGTGTATCACTGATGATGCACAAAACCATGAAAACAACCAACTACATAGCCACAAGAAAAATTAAAACCTCATATGCCACTGTAACTTAATTCAAAGAATTTTTCAATTTGTATACGGTAAACTTTTGAAATAAATTTCTCATATTTTATTCACCAACATTATAGTATAAATACAAGTATAAAGGTCTTATAATATGTAAAATAATATCCTACATTAACTATTAACTAAATAATATCCTACAATAACTATTACCTGTGTAATATCCTACATTAAATAAAATATATATTAATCCTAAGATTTAACCTACAAATCTTTAACACTCTCCCTCAAGTTGGAGCATAGATATTAATCATGTCCAACTTATTACATAAATAATCAATACGAACCCTGTTAAGAGCCTTTGTGAAAATATCTTCTGATTGTTCTCCAATTTTCACTAATAAGAGTCTTTAGGAGTATCAACTTCCTTGAACTTTGCTAAAAACCAAGAAGCTAGTCTGAATCTAGCCATGAAAAATAGCTCAATCTGATCAAGGCTCCTTCCTTCAAACACAATGGCGTTTCTACATTTCCAAATAGTCCAAATAACAACTCCCGGAATAAAGGGCCAAATAGAGGAATAAGGCACCAAATCATTCCAAGCTAGGAAAAAACTTTGAACATTATCATGAAGAACCGAATTTAGTTTCCAAAAATTTAGAAACTTATTCCAAAGTGACCACGACACCCTGCAGGAGAAAAATAAGTGGGATACTGTTTCGATGTTACTTTTGCAAAGAGGTCATGAAATGTCAACAATCCCCAAAACACCTCGTTTTTTGTAATTCAAATCTTACTGCCAATTTTTTATGCACCACCTGCCACAAAAAAAAAATCACTCTAGGAGGCACCAACCCCTTCCAAATAAATTTCATCCAAAAATTGTCAACAGCCGAACCATGATAGCAAAGCATCATACAAGATTTGACAGAAAAAATACCTTCCCCATTCCCTCTCCACAGCATACCATCTCTAGATTCTTGGGAAAGACTAATTTTTTGAATGACATCCAATAAATCTAAAAACTGATCCAGCTCCCAATCACACAGATTTTTTCTCAGCTGCACATACCAAGACCACCCTGCAGATTGAAATTCACCATACTCCGTTAAAACCCCATACTTATTCGAAGATAGAGCAAATAATCTTGGGAAAACATCCTTCAAAGGAGAATCTGATGCCCAACTATCAAACCAGAAACAATTACTCTCCCCATTACCCACTTTGATTTGAAACAAGCTTCGAAACTGAGCACCAAACTGATCTTCTTTAAAATGGTTATTTACCACCGATTTCCAAATCCATGAAGCATTTGTTGGAAATCTGTTGTTGAAAAATAACAGATTAGTGTTCATATTGTATTTAGAACAAATCATCTTCTTCCAAATAGAGCTCCTATCATTAGCAAATTTCCAAGACCATTTCCCCAATAAAGCTCTATTCATGAAATTAATATTTAACACATTCAGACCACCACAACTTCTTGCTTTACACACCGTCTTCCAGTTGATCCAGTGAATTTTCTTGCATTCTGCCCCTCCACCCCATAAAAAATTGGCCATAATTGAATTCATCTTAGAATTGACTGCTGCAGGAATCTTGAACATAGACAAAAAATAAGTAGGTAACGAACTCAAAACCGAATTTAATAAAACCAATCTCCCTGCCAAGGACAGGGTTTTTGCCTTCCAACCCGCCAGCTTCTTAAAAAATTTCTGCATTACCGGATCCCACAAAACAGCATAGTTTATGTTGGCACCAAGCGACAGTCCTAAATATTCAGAAGGGAAAGAACCAACAGTCAACCAATGTCTGTCACCCACTCCTTAACCTCTTGCTTACTAATGTTGATGCCAAATAATTTACTTTTACTGAGATTTAGTTGAAGTCCAAGCATTACTTCAAAAACTCGTAAAATTCTCTTGACATTTAAAATTTGTCTTGGATGCATTGCAAAAAATAATGAGGTCATCTGCAAATTGCAAACGAGAAAGCATGAAAGAATTTATCTAACACCATACCACAAAATAGACCCGAAGAAACCGCCTTGAGAAGCAATAGGTTGAGGAGCTCTCCTATAAAATTAAATAATAGTGGGGAAAGAGAGCAGCCCTGTCTAAGACCTCTCGCCATTGGAAATTCCTCTGTTGGAACACCATTAACCAAAACTGACACCGATGCTGAAGTAACACATCTTCTAATCCTGCTACACCATTTAGTTCCAAAACGCATTTTGATCATAACTTTAAATAGAATATCTCAATCCACCGTATCATAAGCCTTCCTGAAATCAACCTTAAACACACAACCCTTTAAACCTTTCTTTCTCCAAAAATCAAATTCTTCATTGGCAATAAAAGAGCAATCCAAAATTTGACGACCAGGAATAAAAGCGAATTGCAAAGCATTTATCACATCATTCATGCAACTTCTCAGTCTTCTCAAAAGACACTTCGAAAGGATCTTGTACATCCCTCCTACTAAGCTCATTGGTCTAAAATCATCTAATCCACCACTGTTAGAACCCTTAGGGGGTGTTTGGTTCAAGGATTGTGGGATTCCCATTGGATGGGAATCCCACATTCCCATGTTTGGTTGGCTAGGAATCTCATTCCCGGTAATATTTTATTACCAATAGTAGATTTTTTGGGGTATATTACCAGGAATATCATTACCTCCTTTCCCTTAGGTATTGTAACATTACTGGCGTTTTGGACTAAAATGCCCTTAAATTTTTATTTTTTTTCAAAAATATCTTTTTTCTGTCATTGAATAATAAAAATTCTACGAATGTTAAATTACAAATTTATCCTTAAATTATTTTAGATTTACAAAAAAAAATTTATAATTAAAATTTTATATGAAGTTCAGGGGTTAAAAAAATTTACCCTTTCATTAAATCTTTTTTATATTTTTAATTTTGTAAAAAAAATTATATAAATATTATGAATTTAATTTTTTAAAGAAAATATATAAATATTTTACAATTTGTAATATTATACAAATATATAATAAAGACAATTTGGTCAAATATACATTCCAATAATCTTTTATTTATTTAATCAAATACGGTAATCTTACATTCCTGCTAAACCAACCAAACACAAAATACAACATTCTCAGTAATCTTATTCCCTGGTAATCTTTTATTCCCACTGGTAATCTTATATTCCGTGAACCAAACGCACCCTTAGGGATAAGAGTGATGAATGTATGATTAATACTATGCTCCCAATCTTTTCCCAAATAAAATTTATGAAAACATTCCAGGATATCATCTTTCAAAGAGGGCCAAAACCTTTTAAAAAAACCCATGTTCAACCCATCAGGACCTGGGGCCTTGTTACTATCACATAAGTTTAGAACCTCCCAAACTTCTTCTTCCGTAAACATCTTTTCTAAGCGTAGGCTCTGTTGCAAGGATATTCTTGAAAAATTCAGCTTGATATCATCCACTTCCAAAGTTAACCGAACGTTATAGGTTTCGAAAAAATGATCTCGTACCCTTGCCTTGATAAGAAGCGGATCATACAATATTTCTTCTTTGATCTTAAGAGCGTTTAAATGATTCAACCTCCTCCTTATAATGGCACAAGTATGAAAAAATTTTGTATTTCGATCTCCATCTTTGATCCATTTCACTCTTGATTTTTGACACCAAACTTGTTCCTCAATTCTGTATAGCCACCACAATTCATTTTTCCAGGACCGCAATTCTGCTACAAAGTCAATGCCCCTCACTGCTTGCTGTTTCTGTAAATCACATTCTAAAAGATGAATCTTCTGTTCTAAATCTGAAATAACAGCCCCTGGAAAATGATCTATGCTACCATACCATTTTTTATAGTTGATTTTGAGCTTCTGATGATACTCAGAATACCCGATCTTTTCTGAACCTTCTTGCATTCTTTAATAGCCTCTAAAACCTGCTCATCAAAACCATCCTCATCCATTATATAATTGAACAACTTGAAAGGTTTCTCTCCCCAATTAGCTTCTCCACTCTCAAGTAAAATTGCATTATGATCAGAAATAGACTTTGGAAGTAAATGTTGTGTAATATCCGAAAACGCAGCAGAAAAATTGATGTTCAACAAGAACCTGTCTAATCTGACAACAGTTAGATCTTCCCGGTTATTTCCCCAAGTAAATCTTCCCCCAATTAAAGGTATATCAATTAGGTCAGTTTGTTGAATAAAATGCCTAAAGATCTCCATAGAATTTCTATTTTGAGCTTTACCTTCCTTCTCCTTTTCTGATATATAGGCATTAAAATACCCTCCCACACAAAAAGGAGTAGAGAAACCATTTAAAAACAAGCAAAGTTCCTAAAAAAATCCTGCTTTCTCTTCTTCCACTGAAGGACCATAGACATTGATAAAACCACACCTAAATTGATTCATTTTGAACTTCCCAAAAATAGCAATAAATCTCCTATGTATATGTTGATCTTCTACCTCAAAAATATTGTCATCCCAACAACTTAATAAGCCACCTGAGGAACCTTCTGTTGGAGATTCAACATAACCTTGCAGAAAATTCAGCCCACTTCTTCTCAATAATGACCTTGGACAAACCTCCAATTTAGTTTCTTGCAGGAAAAGAAAAGATGGTTTTTTTCAGAAACCATTTTTTGAACAGCTTGATGTTTTTCTTTTTTCCCCAAGCCCCTTGCATTCCATGACGATATAACTAGCTTTGGCATCATAATTAAAATTTATTACCAAGCTCTCCCCCAATCTCTAACAACTCACCTATCCTCACTTAAACCTTTCTCCAACTCCATGATTTTTTCCAAAAAAGCTTTCTTCCCCTCTTTGAAAGAAACACCCAACATCTTAGATATTTCCCAAGTAGCGAGAGCTTCATTCAAATGCATTGGAAATGCTGAAGATGAAATTGTAGAGATACTAACTTGGTCTAATGCATCCATAATCAAAGACCTTTTAACTCTCCTACTAACACTTTCGGTTCTCGAAAAAACACTGTCCTTTTCTAAATTGTGATCATCCTGTGGAACTACATATTGAGCAGATTTTGGAATAATGTCTCTTCCATTCTGCATTCTTACATCCCCCTCCGTTTCAGGATTAAAGGCCTGCACATTTAGAAGCCAGATATTCCTCTCCCAAGACCTTCTATAAACTCTCTTATAACTTCTTATCATCCTTCTTCCCACAAGAGCACTCTTCATAGATAAAGAATCTGCTGAACGAATTTGCAAGTCACCCCTTACGCTTAACACATTCATACCTTCAACAGACCTCCCATTTGCTTTATTTAATGTTGAAGCCTCTAAATCGACCTCCACTGGTAACTCAGAATTGCAATTCCCTTTTTTTCTTGTATCCTTTGAATTACTTGAAGAAGCCATACACTGCCTATGGCTTGGAAACCCAAAGTCAGAAAGTTTAACTGCTGGGCCAGCAGGAATTAGCTTCTTAATTGGAGAAAAGGGCTCACTTCTTTCCTCTGATTGGGCCTGAGCACTAGAGTTTGAAATATTCAAATTTCTAATGCCCAACCTTGCAAACTCACCTTTTTTACAGTTACCTAAACTTTGAAAATCTTGCATCCCTTCATTAATGCCTTTGACATCACTACTTCTTCTTGGAAACTGATTTCCTCTACCAAAGTCAACAAAACCGGAAGAAAAATCCTGATCCATCCACGCGTCAACTCTATTGCGTGCATCCTCAACCAACCGACCATTGCCTACCTTGTCAGTTGACTTTAGGCTTTCTGCTTCCATCTCCGACGACTATAAGGCAGAGTCTCTGCCATCGGATTATTCTCCGGCGAAACAAATGGAAAGAAATTCGACTAATTTGAGGTTGAACCCAGCTTGATTTTCACCTTGAAGGATCGACCATACGACCCTAATGTTATCACTTCCGGGACATCAAAAGGGCTTACCACCCTTATCAGAACTTTTGCTGTCGTGAGATCTTCCTTATTCTTTGTCGAATCCTGTATACTCTCCACTGTCCCCCATCTACCCGCTAGTTTATCCAGAAAATCCTCTTGCCAACATAATAGAGGAACGCCATAAAGCTCCACTAAACAGAAAGCCGTTGGCAGACCTGCTTCATTCAGCAAAGGTGTCAATCTGTCGAACCAGAACCCTAACAAATCATTCCTTCTCGACCAAGCCTCTTTCATCTCCTCATCTGATTTGAATGTGACAATACAAGATTTCCAAACATATCCCCAACTGGCTATCTGGACTTCAAAACCTTCCATAGCCAAAGCACACTGCACCGACTCCAATTCGTAAGGATGTTTTACTATGCCCGTCAGTGATCTTTTCACCCAGCTTGAGCTTTAAGAAGGAATATGCATCTCCCAAATATTCTTCTTCCCTTTCCCCCTGTCTGAACTAACATTCTTATTATCAACTATTTCATGCTCCATTGTCTTCCTACTATCCACCTTCAACACTTCCTTATACGTTCTGCCATCCCTTAGACTTCTTGGTTTTTCCAATTCCTCCTGCTGCCTACCTTTGTCCCCTCTAACTGGCTTGTTACCTTCCAACTGAAGATTTTTTCCTTATGTTTCTCTTTTCCTATCCTTCTTATACTTTGCAACCCCCACTGAGACTCTCTTCCCATCAATCAGCGTTCCATTAACATTTTGTATTGCTCTTCTACAACCTTCCTCCATTGCATATTGCACAAAAGCAAACGTGGATGATTTATAATTCGGTTTAAACATAAAATTTGGAATAAAGACCCTCGCTACTCTTCCATAATGATTGAAAATCTCTCTTAACTAACTTCTAGTAACTCTCTTACTAAGATTATCAACAAAGACAGTTCATTCCTCATCGGAGGATGAACGACCTGTCACACCCACTCTCTTTCTCTCTCTACCTTTCTCACTCATCTTTTTTTTTGCTAGGTAGCCTACGACGTAATTCTTATTTTTACTTGAAACCTTAATTCCTACTTTATTGAGTTGATATACCCATATGATTTCACACACAAACTTCATCGTAGTTTTATATTCAGCTTCTGAAATGGATTATGAGACCGCATTTTGTTTCTTAACCTTCCATAAAATCAAGTTTCCTCCAACAAACACACAGTATCCTGAAGCATACCTCCTATCTTCCTTATATCTTACCTAATCCAAATCTGAAATACGTTTGGTCCTAGTATAACCATTATTACCATATAGAACTCCATGTCCAAGAGCACTTTTCAAATAATGTAGAAGTTGTTCTACCGCCTTCCAGTGATCAACTGTTGGTGATAACATATACTGACTCAGCACACTTACTGTATAAATAATATCAAGATGTGTCATAATAAGATAATTCAACTCATCAATAAGTCTATTGTATCTCTCAAGATCTACAAATAATTCACTTTCTTTGGTTAATTGTAAATTGGGAACCATTGGAGTACTATATGATTTATCATCCAATTTTTCTGACTCCAATAGTAAATCGAGCACATACTTCCTCTGAGATAGGAATATTTCATTCTTACTCCTGCTAACTTGCTAAAGATGAGATAGGGTGATTTTGGTTATAGTTGTGTTGTTTAACAGGAATTGTTCCTCCCTGTTTTGTTGGATGTTTGTGTTAAGTTTTATGTTCTTCCGTTGGAAGTGTAGGAGTTTGTTCAAGCTTGTAATCTGGTTCTTGTGAATAAAAGTTTTCTTGGCTCTCTTTTCCTCCTTCGTTGTTCCATCATGTTACTCTCATAACATGGAGGGATTGAAGGAGGATTTTAATGGGGCCTTTCTATCAAAAAAAAAAACTTCAACTCTCAAGAAATATTTTAACTTCTTTAAGTCTTTGGTATGGAATTGAGTATAGAGGAAAGACTTCACAGATGAAATTTCGCTAGAGTCACTAATGATGATTAAAATATCATCCACTTATATGACTAACAAAATAATGTCTCCATCAAATTTTTTATAGAACATCGAATGATCTGACTTGCTCTTATGCATCCCAAACTTCTCAATAGCTTGGCTAAACTTCCCAAATCAAGTCCGAGGACTCTGTTTCAAGCCACATAGAGATTTTTTTCAAACAACATGCTTTCTCATACTCCCCCTGTGTAACAAAACTAAGTGGTTGCTCCATATACACCACCTCCTGAAGATAACCATGAAGAAAAGCATTCTTTATGTGTAACTGATGTAGGGGCCAATCAAAAGTTGCAACAAAATAAATAATTCGACTGAAGCAAATTTAGCAACGGGAGAGAAAGTATCATCATATTTCATTTCATAGGTCTATGCATATCCTTTAGCAACAAGTCTGATTTTTAATTGAGCAATAGAGCCATTAGGATTGAATTTGACAGTAAACACACGTTTACATACAATAGCTCATTTACCAATAAGTAACCAAAGCTCAGGTTTCACTAACATTTAAAGCAATCATTTGTGGTAGTTGGATCCGAAGATCAAGATACTAGCTGATTAGAACATGGTTCTAGAGTCTCAAGAACATGGTCACAACTAGGTGGACATGGGCGACGCAAGAAGGTGAATTTGACGGGTGGCTTAACCAATGCAAAGGATGGCATACCTAATTTCGAGATGACCTAATAAAGTAACAAATCATCCTCCCCTATTTCATAGAACCTAAATTGAAAGTGTAGAGTGTTTGTTCTAAAAAGGTAACATCAACAGACACAAGATATTTACCAAGGTTTGGACAATAACAGTGATACCTTTTTGAACACGAGAATATCCAAAAACACACACTTTAGGTCTTAGGATCAAGTTTTGTAACTTGATGACGAACATCTCAAACAAAAAAGTATAACCAAATATCTTAGCGTACGATAGGAAACGAGTTTTTATTTGGAAAGAGAGTATAGAAAGGGTATCGTCGGACAAAACAAAGTCATACGATTAATGAGGAAGTAAGCAGTAGAGATAACAACCCAAAAGCATTTACTAAGATTATTAAACATAAGAGTAATATTCTACGTCAACTATGTAATATTCTACATTAAATACAATGTATATTAATCATAAGAGTTGGCCTACATATCTGTAACATATACTAAGAATGCTCCGCAATAAATGCAACCAAATAAAAAAGAAACAACCATTTAAAAGATTATTATGTTTACTTTTTACTTTTTGGTTATGACCCAATAGTTAAATGAGCTGGTGGCAAAAAAAAAGTGTGCTTGAATCATTTATTTAAAAATAAATAAAGAATTTGGTGTACCTGATACGCAAAGGAATGATTTGCATCCACATATGACAGTGCTACTTCAATGACTTCATACCCTATGGAGTTCCAAACACAGAGTTATAGCAGTCCAACCTCCTTTCCAATTAATAGTTACATAAACCAAGATATTTAGAAGAATGTTGAACTTATTCTTTCAAGGATACTCTACCAACTGAGCCTACATAGTTGACACTCGAGACCTAATCACAAACATTTACCATCGAGACTATATTAAAGGGATTGTGTGCAAATGTACAACTGTACTTGTGTGAGTGGTTCAAATTTACCATTAATCTTTCAACCAAATCAATTACCATAGTATTGCTAATTTTAGAGTAACTTACAATCATATTTCTAATTTGGAACAAATTTACCAATATATTTTTAGTTTTGAAGAAAATTTGATCAAGATATGATAAATGGAGAATATTTTGCTAAAAATATGTTTTAAATTTGAAAAATAAATTAAAATATATTTTATGCATCATGTGTTCAATTTTGAAGCAAAATGACCACTATATGTTGAATTTTATATCAGAAAATTCATCATTTGGCATTACAAAATGACATGATGAAAGAATAGAAAAAAAAAATTAAACAAGATTTAGATTACAGCTTTATGATGTTGTTCCTCGCTATGTCATTTTCAAGATTCTTTTATTTAATTATAGCAGAGCATTGTGCATGACACTGGTATTGAAAAGTCAGGAAAATAGACACCTCTGTTCAGACCCGTGCAAGCCTCAAAATGTAACGTTTGAAAAATGGAAACGCAGTAAGATGCATTATGAAACAAGATAATTTATCAATAAAAATGGGTCTGGGAAAAAAATTGGAACGAAGAAATACTGATAACCAAGTAAAAGGAACGAGATACTGAAAATGTCCCGTTTTTGAGTTTACAAGTTAAATCTAGAGAACCAAGCAAATTAAAATCACGGTTTTGATGATGGTTATGTGTTCTACCTTGGAAACCCTCAGCTCGTTTACTGCCTTCCAAAGGGAATCATCTGATAGTATTAACCGTGACAGTGCCCCAGTACTCATCCTGCAAGATTAGTTATTAGACAACTGTTATATAATGCGTAAGCAAACCAACATTTATCCAGCAACACATCATATGGAATTCTAAGCTCACAATCAACAAAATCTCCTTTCCTGACATTTCCTACCACTTTCCCTTCTTTACTATGGCTATAAGTTTATAATATTCAATAAGAGATGGATTCCAACTCATTCTTGAATTACAACAATAGGCAGAATGATAGATGAGTCAACTAAACTGGGCAGAAGGAAAGCAATGGAAGTACTAACAAGGTTAATGTAACGCACCCGAGAAACTTTGCAGCATCAGATATAGACCCTTCAACTGCAAAGATTAGATCAAGCAGTGCCTGCATGCCCTGTGGAAGGAGTTAAAATGAACCAAAACTCATCAGTATGCAATGCTAAAATGAACAAAATTGAAGTGAGAAGACGCATATACCGATACAAATTTAGGATTGTTGGGGCCAATTTGGGGACCAGAATCAGATGTCCTGAGAGTTGAGCTTTGGGGAAGAATTTGAAGAAGCTCGGGAGGAGGAGAGTATGATTCAAGAGAGACGGGATTTCTTACTTCATTAGGATTAATCAAACATCAATTAGCATATTAGAATGAAGAATGAAGAAGCCGAAAATGGAAAATAGGTTACTTTTGAGAGCAATAAGAGTGCGGAGACGAGCTAAGGCAGAAGAACGATTCATGTGCTGGGATCGGTCTTCAACGGCCTGGGCAACGATACCGGTGGGGAGGTGCTTGAGACGAACGGCGGACTCTCGCTTGTTACGGTGCTGACCGCCTGGGCCGGACGCTTTGAAGCTGGTCATCTGGCACTGCCGCATCAGCTCTTCATCCTTCAATGTTAGGTAACAACTCTTATCACTGTTGTTATTACTAACACTGCAGCAGTAGAGTTGCCAATGATACCCTATTGATTTTCGCTTTAGGGGCATAAAGAAACAGCTTGACGGCAATGGCGGTGGCACCTTAGCCACCAAGGAAACGCCGTTACTTCTCACAATTCGATCAACGGATTTCATGACATTCATATATCCAACCCCAACCCCAGCCATTGCCATTTTCTTCTTACCCAAACAATTGAATTTGTATTTGTTGTGCTTATCGAATAAAAACGCAGCGTTTTCAGCAACACTTAACAAATGCATCTTCAACCTTGGATTTGTGTAACCAAAGATGATTTATTTTGCTGTCAAACTAATCTAGGGATTAAACTATGTTGGGTAAACTACACGTTGGTCATTACATTATTATTTCTCTTTTATTTTTATCATCAAATTATTTCTTTTATAAATTTAATTATTCACATTACGTTTTTTTAATTTATTTTTTCTTGAAAATTATAGTTTAAAATTAAAATTGAATAAATAGATTGTTTAAATATTTAGAGTTAAATGCCTTGAATTATCAATTAAAATAATTTAACGAAGAATAATTAAAATAATCAATTTTTAAAATAATAATGTCTAAAATTCGAAAATTGATTTGTTTTTGAGAAATCAAATAATCTTAAGTCTCAAAACACTTCAATTGTGAAAATTTATCTATATGAAAGTGAATTCCAGACTGAATTCTAAAAAATTAATCTCAAAATTTGTCTCGTAATGACAAGTTGAATAAAAAAATCAAAGTTTGAAGAAATGATTAATTAAGGATAACGAGATTTTGTATGGATAATATGAAAAATGTTATAAAATAAACGCTAACATATACTTTCATGAAAAAATTAAATAATTCAAATAAAAACATTTATTTTACTTTAAATCCTTTTAAGTTTTTAGTTATTAATTGCATCATATGTCCCCAAAATATGATGCTCATTTTAAATTAGTCCCTCATTTTTTAAATATTTTAATTTCATCCTCAACATGAACTTTTCATTCGAAATTGGTGCTTAAACTTTTTGAACATTTCAAACTATATGTATATACTAATCACATCCCTTGTTAATAAAATCATTAGGTTAAGTTATATTATTATAACATTGAAAAAACAAAATTTAAGTTAAATTATGGTTGAAACTAATTACATATTTGGATGAATTCAGATATGAAATTGGAATATTCAAAGTTTGGGGAATAATTTAGAAAGAGAGTCATAGTTTATGGATAAAATTAGAATGTTCAAAAGTTTAAGGACTAATTTAAAATAAAAGTCATAGTTTAGAGAAGAAATTAAAATATTTAAAAAGCTAAGGAATAAATTAAAACACATGTTAGAGTTTAGGGACATATGATATAATTAATTGTGTTTAGTTAATCACGCACTTCAACTAAAAAAATTAGTTGATCCTATTCTCATATATAATAAGATAAGGAGAGGTAAGGTAGTAGGTTGTCCCCAATGCTAGGTTGAGAGCAACTTCCGTAGAATACCTCCGGCAATTATGAATTGTCTACCGTGGATAAAGTTGTTTATAATCTTTGGGCTTTTCAATTTTTCTTTTTTATCTTGGTCCTTAAGTGATTTACATTAATTCTGGATTTGACAACATTTTTAAGTTTGGTTCTTTAATTTGAAGACTTTTAATTCTGAATTTGAAAACATCTTTTAATTTGATTCTTAAATTTGAAGATATTTTCATATGAAATAATATTAAAGTGTTTAATCATAAAAAAATGGTATGGATAAAAAAGGAAGTTTAGAAATTAAATTGAGAAAAATGTTAATTTTAAGGACTAAAAGTCTATTTATCCCAAATATGAAATAGATGTAGGAAAATGGGGGATCGAAACTAAAGAAGAGTCTGGAAAGGGACAAGCATATATTAGTAAGAAAGCTTCCTCCCTGGACCTTTGTTTGATTGTTCGAGTGGCAATTGGAAATTGGAACTGGAATTGGGGAAATAGAATTTCAAAATCGGAAAAGCAGATGGAGAGTGGAAGATGGAGGAGAGGAGCGGTATCTAGGGGAATGTTGCCGTTGTTGGCTCTTCACGCGGTCAACGAATACAACAGACTGCCGTGGAAGCCGCCTATCACCGCCGGACTATTGGCTGCCAACACTCTCATCTATCTCAGGCCTTCTTTCCTCGACTCTATCCTTCCTTTTGTCGATGAGGTTTGGTTCAATCCTCATCTTATTCTCAAGGTATTCTTCTATTCTCATTTGCTTTCTTTTTATTGATATTTAGTTGTTTGATTCAACTGGGAAAAAGATCCGTTATTGATCCACCAGAAAATTATCTGCAAAATATAGGAAATTACGTTTATAACTTGTGAATTATGATCGATTCTTAAGGATAGCCCCCAAAATAGCTTTCTTGCGAAATTGAATAGTGTTCTGTAAAATTGGAAATCTCTTATTGCCTATGAAAATACTTCCAACAAGGCCAAATCATTTGAAACTAAAAAAGAAAAGAAAAAAACAGGGGTTTAAATCAAATCAGCAGTTTTGGACTACAAATCCATCACATTTTGTAGATATTGATAGAGTTCTTTGAAAGTTAATCCTGAAGATGTTTAGAAAAGATCGTATTGGAAATAAAAACATCAAAAGCATGCTTTGGTAGCCATTGAGAGGGTTCTTTGGTAGCCTATCGTTGCCAATGTTTTCAGATTATAACTATTCCTTGGTATAGATCGGTTTGATGTTTTCTCTTGTGTTTTACCATTGTACAAAGGTAATGCCTCATTTTAGCCCCCAAATACATAGTTTTGTTGTTCCAGGTATTTAGGTGCCTTAGGCATTTGAATATTCCAAATTAACCTGATGTCATTTTCAATGCAAGTAATCTGTTGTCATATTTTTAATGTGCAGAACAAAGATATGAAACGCTTCTTCCTGTCTGTATTCTACCATGTTGATGAATCTCACCTGGTCTACAATATGATGTCCCTCTTGTGGAAGGGGATCCAATTGGAAACTTCAATGGGAGCTCTGAGTTTGCGTCCATGGTTGTTGCACTCCTTGGTTTGTCACAAGCCATAACTTTGCTATTGGCCAAATCCCTTCTCATCTTCTTTGATTACAGGAGACCCTATTACTCTGAATACGCTGTTGGCTTTTCGGGTATCCTGTTTGCCATGAAAGTCGTCCTCAACTCTCAGTCAGACAACTTCGCTAATGTGCATGGACTTATTGTACCGGCCCGTTATGCGGCATGGGCAGAATTGATTCTTATTCAAATGTTTGTCCCTCGTGTCTCGTTTCTTGGTCACCTTGGTGGTATACTTGCTGGGATTCTCTATTTGAAATTGAAGGGTTTGTATTCTGGTCCAGACCCGCTGACTACAATAATTAGACAGTTAACTGGTCTGTTAAGGTGGCCTCTAAGGTTTATAAGGAACATGTTTCAATTAAGGAGACGGAGAATATCTGGCAGGGGAACTGTTGGGACTGAGAGAAGAGGCTTATCTGGCACATGGAGATGCCCGGCATGTACATATGATAACTCCGATTGGTTAAGAAACTGTGAGATGTGTGGAACGAGTCGAAGCAACAATGGTGGGGTTCTGCGACAAACATCTCGCCATTCTCGTGATCTTCCTTTGGAAGAATTACGGCGTCGGAGAGTTGAGAGATTTGGTTAATACTCGACAGTCCTATACTAATATGATATAGAGAATGAATTGAGTTTGAATTACAGAAACAGAAGATTTGGATTACAATTGCACAAAGTTTTAGTAACTTGATTTGTTTCCCTCAATGTATATGTTCACTCTGCTACAGTTAAATGATGTTTTCTTCCATCAACATGCCAATGCATAATGGCAGAAAATGAACCGTATGCATTCTAGAAGAGCAAATATCTATGTTTATCATATTTCTAAAATTGCTATTTTAAATGTTATATTATTATACGTATTAAAATATATTTATATTTTAGAATTCTAACTTTAGTAGAAGACTTTCATGAAATGAATTTATTTGATAAATTTAAAAAAACTAAAGCTTATACTAAATTTCTTTATCTTCAGAGTTTTATGTTATTTTATGCCGTTTGTGTTAAAACAGAAGTTTCAACATCTTATTAAATGACATTAATTTGTTTAAAACATAGTATACGTCAATTGTCATTAAAAATTTAATGACCAAAATAAATAAAAAATTCTGACTCCAAAGAAGGACTTCTGATTTCAATGATCAAAGTACAATTTTCCTAAAGGTTCAATGACCAAGAGTAGAGTTTAACGTTTATGAAAAATTCTTATTTACTTATCGTTTATACACTTGTATTTGAAACATCATCAGCTAAACAAATTAAAGAAATATTAAAATCACACTTTCAACAGGTCCTAAATGAAATTGTAGCTTTATCTTCGTGTAAGCGTAGCAAAGTCGATCACCTTACCTGCAACATTTCCAAATGTAATCTATAATATTGGGCAATGTGTATGCTACAACCCGATTCATTTCCTGAAAAATCAAATAAAAGTTATCCTACAGTCACATGCATCATTCCTAGTAAATAAGATTTACTTTGTAGATTAGCTTTTTGGGTGAAAGCATCCGGTCTGGTGGCAAGAATAACAAAAATTCTAGGATTAAAAAAAGGGCTTACTCTTATAGTGCAAGGCAGAGCACCAAAAACAAAAGTGACAAAAAATACAATTGTAATTCATCCGGAACATGTAGGCAATAAAATTAACAGGGAAAAAAAAACATTATTTAGCATCTTGGCCTTCTTCTGCTGCAGCTTCAAAGGTCTCACCAGGTACAAGATCTGGTACCTCCTCATCATCCTCTTCCTGGGTAGTGGCTGCACCGTTACCAGTACCAGCAGCAGGTGCCTGCTTCTGGAATTGCTCTGCCAATTTTCTCAAGTTGTCAAGTTATCTGGCCCTATAGTTTCAGAACATGGATCAACAACCGATAATAGATTTACAATCACAAAACGGTACCGTTCATGGTAAGTGTACATACCCAACTGGTTGATGATTCCTGGGAGAATATCCTGCAATTCTGGAATAGGGGAAAATGAAAGAGTCAGATCAACAAATCTTAAAGATCAACAGAAGTGCACAGTGGCTGACAAATGCCCCAAGTCGTAGATGCCTTGGGAGCTAAAAATACCAATGATTTTGGCAAACCATGGGACGCTTTGAAGTTAGGGATGCATACTCTTTGTCTGAGGGGAACCACTAACAACCCAGGTGTTGGCAGCAATAGAAGCTTGAACTGAAATACAGACCATCACATTTTAGTTTATTATGCAAAACATCTGAGAGAATCACAGAGTCCACTTCAATAAAGCTATGTCTACCTTTCGGATTAATAAACTGGATAACACATCATCCTTGAATATGTTGACTTCCTCGATAGCAGGAATAGCATTCACTCCTATTCTCTTGAGGGTGCTCTGTAACCGTTTGTCGTCAGTGGTAGTTGTCTTGTGGACAGCCTTCTTCTTTCTATTAACACAAGTCAAAATAACAACACAGTAATTAATACGCAAATCGTATAGAGAGGCATCCAAACTCAAGCACCTATCCACATGGCATATAAAAAGCATGACTACAGGATCAGAACATTCTGCTTGGCATGATAGCCTCTCCTAAATATCTGAGCAACACCTTCATAGGTAACCTATTTTGGAGATAATTAAAACTTAATAGTAGTCTATCCAAGCAAAGCTCATATCGTGAACACACCTTCTTATGCTACCCTTACCACCGGTGCGGACTGCACCAGCCATTTTCATGAGTCTTTCCTTGTTCATCTGCCCAAGGGTAAACAGCAAGTCAATAAAAAATATGACAAACCGAGAATCGAGATTCACACACACAGTAGCTTATCAAAAGCACCAAAACAAACAAATAAACACTACATATGGAACAAAAACGCACCATAAATATACACGCAAATCTTGGGAAACATAGAAGAAATGAACTAGCTCACGCATTACCAACACACCCTAGACCCAAAAAAAAGGATGAAAAAGGCAATTCAGCCACTACCTTATCCTTTTTTTCTCTTTTTTCAAGAGGGAAAATAAAACAGACGACGGAATTTTAAAAAAGAAAAAACAACTTTAGAACAATACACAGAAATATCAGATGCTCTAATTTACTTATCATAATTGTATTTAAGCTTTAGAGCATAAAGCATAAGCTAAGCTGGAAATCAAAACAAATATAAACTCAGGCAGCTGGAACGAATATCAACCGGAAGTTTTTTATACAATAATTCCAAAAATACACGTACAAAGGGTCATCAAGAGCCTAAATCAAACCAATCAAAAGAGAGAAAATGGAAGATAAATCAGCCATGGATTGAAATTAAAATGATAGAAATAGAATAAAAGTAACAAACGCTTTCACAAAACGTAGATGGCAAATGATGAAAGAAACATTGAATTAAGATATCGAACCTTAACAGTATGAGAAATAATAATGATATGCCGCGACTCAGACTGCAACTACAACTAGAAAAGGGGTGAAAAAAATGAGATTTTTCTATACAACCCGCTGAACACGCTCAGCTCCATTTTTTATGCCTTTAGGGTTTTTATCTCCACCCTTGGATTTTTAGTATTTTGATCCGACTGTTACAACGCCATCACGTCCATGTCTATCTTTGCAACAATGGACATGCCATTTCACTCCCCATTTTACTTTTCCTTTGTTTGAGTTAATTACATATCGTCCCCAAATTACGATAAAGATTTTAAATTAGTACTGATCTTCAAAACATTTATATTGAATCTTGTGTCTATTATTGTAGTATCAATTAGGTTTTTTTTTTGGTGTTCATCTAGTTGTTATAATGAACGATGCACAACCCTTTGGACCAACAACATGGCGTCATTGAGGAATTAAAACATCTCTTCCTTTTAATTGAAGATATGCTTTTTTTCATTAAAGGGAAGATTTTCCTTAGGTGGCGTTTGGTTCGCTGGAATCCATTGGAATTTGGGGGAATTGGAATCCAATTCTATCACTTTCCCATGTTTGATTCAAGTTTTCAAAGGGAAAATTGGAATCTAATTCCATCAAACAAGGGAAAGTAAATTTTATCCATAACATGATGGAATTGAAATCCTTTAGAGGAGGGAATGTGAAATTTGACCATACTACCCATCAATCTTTTGTATTAGGGTCGGATCTTTTTTTTAAAAAAATCGGGATCGGGTCGAATTTTTTTAACAAAATTCTGGTTCGGGTTCGGGTCGGGTCGGGTTTTTTTAAGTTTGATATTCAGGTCGGGGTCGGGTCGGGTTTTTAAAAAAATCGGGATCGGTCGAGTTTTTTAAGTTTGATATTCAGGTCGGATCGGGTTTTTTTAATTGTGATATTTGGGTTGGGTTTAGGGTTCGAGTCAAGTTTAGGGTTTGGCTCAAGTTTAGGGTTTTTTTAAGTCAAAGTTTTTATTGAATAAAAATATTTTTTTTTTTTCATGTCGGTCGGGTTTCTAATTCATATATTCGGGTCGGATCGGGTCTCGGGTGGAGGTTCCTTGTTCTCGGGTCGGGCCGGGTGTACCAAAAAACCGACCCATGGTCATCCTAATTGCGATGATTTTAACTTATGATGTTTATTAGCATGATTTTTATAATTTATTAAAATGAATAATCAATCAATAAAATGAAATTTAATATTTTTTAAATTTTTATAATATATTACTACATGTAAGTTATAAAACAAATTAAAATAAAGCAAAAAAATAAGAAGGGCAATTCTGTCATTTTACATTACTGAAATCAAATTCATCTGACATGTTTGCGAACCAAACAGAATATGGAATTGGATTTCAATTCAATTTCTTGCCAACCAAACAGGTTTCAGATTCCAATTCCTGACAGATTCCAATTCCTTCACAGATTTTAATTATCTCAAAAACATTTCAGCGAATCAAACGCCATATTAGGGTTTTTCTTGGTTAATTAACATGTTGGGTCATTGGGCCACCTTATAGTTGAGTCTGGGTAGCCATTTTAGATTTGGATTTTGGGCTTGAACGGTTGTAGCCTTATTTGGGTCTAGTTGTAATATAGGCTAATGGCCTAAAGGTTTATCTTGAGTTTATTGGGTTATAAATTGTGAATATATAAATAAACAAATTATTTATTCTTTTAAAAAATAAATAAGATAGAGGATTTTTTTCTCGGTATTGAGATCCGAACGAAATTGGGTTTTACAAAGTTAAATCACTCTAAATTATTGTGCAAAATTATTTATGTTTTTTTATTGCTTTCGCAAAAATTTTAAAAACGAATTTGTCTTACTCTTTATATTTTTTTATCGATCGATTGAACTAATAAAAAATGAAAAATATGAAGGAAAAAAATGTTGCAAAAGAATATAGTATTGAAATTAAAAAAAAACTTTTAAATTTTTTAGAAATATAAATTTTTAAAACTTTTATATTTATTTACATTTAAGAGATAGAATGGGTTTTTTTTCCTTTTTGTTCTCTCCTATTCTCTAAAATTTCATCATTAATTCATATCAGTTCACGTTGCACATCTGATTTTAATAGATGAATCTTTTAACATAAATTTTTTGTATACGCAAAATCTCAAACTCAAGTCCTACTTAAACCATCGAACTTTTACCACTTAGACTAACATTTACAACTCCTTACTCTATTCTTAAAATAAGGTTTTCTTTGTGTGATATATGTCTTAAAATGAATTTATGACACGTCATAATTCTATTTTAATTAAATTAATAATTAACTGTTTTAATTAGTTAATAAATTATAAATCAATTTTTATATCATAAATATTAATTAAATTATTATATTTGCATACATTATTACTA